AGTTTTCTGTATTTTAGTTTTCCAGGATACTAATGAATCACCAAGGAAAACACAATATCCACTCAATGATTTGCAATTGAAAGCACATTGTCCCCAATCAGCATCACTATAAGCCTTCAGGTAAAGATCTGATTTAGCAGAATAAAATAGACCAACATTTATAGTTGTTTTCAAATATCTAACCACATGCATTGCTGCCTGTAAATGTGGTATTCTTGGTTGACTCAAGAATTGGCTTAAATGTTGGACTGAATATGATATGTCAGCTCTTGTTAGGTTGAGATACAACAGTCTTCCAATTATTCTTCTGTAGTAATCTGGATTGGGTAGCAAATATCCTTGATCAACAGATAATTTCAATCCCTTTGGTAATGGGAAATGAGTATCTTTGCAATTTTCCATGTTTAGATCTCTGAGAATGTCAATGATATACTTCCTTTGATTGAGTAATATTCCTGTCTCATTTCTTGTTACTTCTATCCCTAGGAAGTATCTCATTAATCCTTGATCTTTGACAGTAAATTTCTTATCAAGTCCTTTCTTCACAAATTGAATTTCTGTTTGATCATTCCACGTAAGTAGCACATCATCAACATATACTAGGGCAATAGTATGAGATCCTGTGATAGTTGGTCAATTCAATATTCCATTGTCTTGAAGCTTGTTTCAACCCATATAAAAATCTCTTTAGTCTGCAAACTTGATCTCCTTTGTCTGTATAATACCCTTGATCTGGTGGTATCATAAAGACTTCTTCATCAATATAACCATGCAGAAAAGCATTGTTAATATCAAGTTGGTGTAGAGGCCGTTCCTTGATAGCAGCTAAAGCAAAAATTGTTCTTACAGTAGTAAGTTTTGCTACAGGGGAGAAAGTATGTTTATAATATTTATCCTTCACTTGATTATACCCCTTAGCAACAAGTCTTGCTTTAAATCTTTCAACACTTCCATCTGCTTTATGCTTGATTTTGTATACCCATCTTGATCCTATTGCCCTTTTTCCTGGGGGTAATTGAGTCATTTCCCATGTTTGATTAGACTCCAGTGCCTCAATCTTCTTGTTCATTGCTGCAACCCATCTCTCATCCTTAACAACTTGTTGGTAACTATTTGGTTCATGTTCACTTATTACATTGCATAAAGTAGCTATGTATTCTGGATCAAAAGTAGTCAACTTGTCTAACATGTGAGCATGAAAAGATGTTGAAATATTTCTGTTGTTCTGAACAGGAAGTTTAATAGGACAATGAAATCCTTGGAGTTTTGTTGACATCTGTTTTGCTCTAGTAGATCTTCTCACTGGGAGATCTCGAGGATTAGAGTTGGATTCATTTTCTTGTTCATGTAAATGAACAGATTGAACAATCTCAGTAGTCATGACAATAGGTGGAACATTTGAGATATGCTCTTGAGATGATGACTGAATTAGAGGAATTGAATTCCTCCTATCTTCAGGAATTGAATTACTCCTATCTTCATTACCCCTATATTCTGAAATGATAGGGTTAAAAGTATTGAAGATAGAATCCTCTGTCGTATTCTGAGTAGCTTGAGTGTCAGTTTTGAATGGAAATTTGTCTTCTTGAAACTTGACATCTCTACTGATAAAAACAGTATGGTTGTTCAGGTCATATAATTTATATCCCTTTTGTCCAAAAGGATAACCAATGAATATACATCTTCTTGCCTTTAAACCAAATTTGTCCTTGACTGTATTGGGTAAGGAAGCAAAGCATAATGAGCCAAAGACCTTTAATTCTTCATAATCTGGTGGTTCTTTGAAGAGTAACAGATTATGAGATATGTGGTGGCAGTTAACAGACACTCCCCCTAGAACTTGATAAGAAGATTAACATGTATTCTCAATGCTCTTGCTGTCTCTATTAAGTGTCTATGTTTCCTTTCTATTCTGCCATTCTGCTGGGGTCTTCCGGGTACACTTCTGTGATGAACTATCCCTTTTTCTTTAAATGTTGTATCATAGAAGTCTTGTATAAATTCTGTACCGTTGTCTGTTCTAACAATTTTAACTTGAGCTTGAAATTGTGTTTGAATATAGTTCAAGAAATTCTTGATTAATCCTGGAACTTGTTGCTTGTTTTGTATAAAAAACGTCCAGGTGGTTCTTGAATGATCATCAACAATAGTTAGAAAAGACCTAGCTCCAGTCATAGTGGGGGTTTTATATGGTCCCCAAACATCCATGTGCAGTAAATCAAAACAGGTTTTAGCATAAAAAACACTTCTAGGAAATGGTAAAATATGATGTTTAGCTACGACACATGATTCACAGAAATATTCTTTTATTCCATGTACACTGCTATCATATATGCGTTTCAACTTCTCAATAGAAGTATGGCCTAGTCTAGCACGGATCAAAGAGATATCAACATGCTTACACTTATTCAATGCAGATTGTTTGTTACTAGTAGAAGTATTACACATAATATGTGTATTAGGACTAGGATGACTATCAGCATGAACTTGATAAAACTTGTAAAGATCTCCTCTTCTCTGACCCCTTCCAAGAATAATCTCACTTGAATGGTCCGAATGATGCACTCATTTGGAAAGAAAATCATAATCATGTTAGTGTTTTCAATTAAACGACCAACAGATAGTAAATTTTGCTGAAAATCAGGAACAACCAGAACATTTCAAGGATGATATCTGAAGTTAACTTCAACTTTCCAACTTTATGAACAAGTTTAATAGATCCATCAGGTAATCCCACCATAACAGTTTTTTTAGTTGTTTGATGTCATACAACCAGTCAATCTTAGAAGTCATGTGATCAGAAGCTCCTGTATCAATCATCCATTCTTGGTGCACAATAGTATCAACTGTTAAAGCATGAATTGTTGAAGGGTTACCTGCAAAGCTGACTGCAACATTTGAGCATCTTGCTTCATTTTGTTCTGAGATTATTTTCATTACTTGTTGAACAACTGTGTTAACAATTCCATTCATAGAAGATTGATCAATAGAAATTTCTGAATTATTTCTGTTTCCTGATATAGGAAATTCCTCCATTGGAATATCTTCCTCAGAATAGTCAAGAACATTCACATTATCAGCTTTCCTGAAGTTATTGTTTCCTGAGGTACTCTTCCTTGTATATTTTCCAGAACCTGCTGAATTTCTTGGATTCTTTTCAGGATATAACTTGTAACATTGGTCCTTTGTGTGGCTCTTTCTTCCACAATATGCACATTCGATCAATTTAAAACATTCTTCCTTATTGTGTCCCTTTTGGTAACAATAAGTACATTTCTTTCCCACAGCAGCAGCATAACCATAGTACTCATCATCTTCAGTTTTGGTTCTTTTCCAATTGTCCTCTCTTCTTTGTTCATCATTTCTTTTGTTATTTATTCCTTCTGTTGAAATAGAAGCATAAGCATTTGCTTCTGTAAGAACATCCAATGCATAAGTAATCTGTTTTTGCCTTTCAATTTTCTGCAGAAGTGATAAAGCTTTATTCATCTCTGGAAGTGGATCCATGGTCAAAATAGTACTCTTCACATTCTCATATCCAGAATTGAGTCCCATTAAAACCTGGATGAGTTTTGAGTGATTCTCCTGATCCAGAATACGTTTCAGTAACTGACATGTGCAAAGACTGAGTGCTCCACAAGTACAGTCTGGTACATGATCTAGGCTATGAACATCCTCCCATTTCCTTTTCAGATTATTGTATTAATGAATCAACGGTTGATTTTCTTGTGTAAGATTACTTATCTCTTTCTTAATCTGATAAATCTCCAATCCATTAGTTTGACCATACCTTTCTGTAATTTCTGACCACAGTTCCTTAGATGTGTTAGAATACATCAAGTTTTCTTTTATGACTTTATCCATTGAATTAAGCAGCCATTTCATAACCATTAGGTCACAACGAAGCCATTAATGATACCTTTTGTCTTTCTTGTCAGGTGCAGAACATCTACCATCAAGAAATCCAGATTTGTTCTTCGATGCCAAAGCCATAGTGATGTCACGTTTCCATGAGAGAAAGTTTGATCCATCAAACAGATTATCTACAAGCTTCAGGTTAGGTTGATCCGAGGAAGAAAGGAAGAGAGGATCATCAAAGAAATCATAATCCTGAGAATTATGAGTTGTATGTGACTCAGAATCCGTAGTTTCTGGCATTTTCAGAAAACAAAGATCGAAACTAGAAATTCAGATTATCGATGAAGATCGAAGAGAAGAGAAGTTCCGATAACTTGAAATTGACGTTATCGGTGAGAAACAGATGATATGTATTGGATTGTTTACTGATACTGTGGCTCTGATACCATATGAAAATAACTAATCTCCATTGACGAGCACTTTGTCACGGTGCGTCAAAATAATTTCAATACTAAACACTTATACGTAGTATAGCGTAGTAGAGTTCGTATCCACAGGGAAAGGAATGATTTTCTTTCTATGAAACTAGTAATAAAAAGGGGGGTTTTGGTTTTGAGTGATTTAATTCAATTAAGAAACTAAGATGAACAACCTATATGTGTTTAATTCAAGAATAAAAGGGACTTGACTTTGCTACATTCCACTTGTTGATATATTTTAGTCGATCCTTGTTATATCTATAACTTATCCCCTATCGAATACTCAATCGAGGAGTATCTCCAATTCATCGAGGGTAGTTATTAACAACGACCGTTCATTAATAACCCTTACTATTAATCAAATATAGAACAACGCCGTATACCGATATAATAGTAGCATTCAATCTTTTTAACTCCTTGATGAAATCAATTGAGATTGATAACCTTAACACAACGGTTTCGGTTTAACCAACAAAATTGATCCCTCTTAAGTCTATTAACCACGACCGTGCATTAATAAACCGAAGTTACTTACTTGTGAAACCACCAACGATTAATCATCGGTTCGTTGCTCGTTTCTAGTAGTAATTAATGTCGGAACGTTAACTAATCGTCACTTAGCAACCCTCCAACATTAATATAGAATGAGATTAAGGGAAGAATTAATAATCAAGAGAAGAAGTTAAGAAAATAACTCACAACTTTAATAATCAACAAGCTTCAAGAGCAAAACCAAGAATGGAAGTTTAGCTCCTCATTTGGAGGCTAAACATAGCTAGAAAAATATAAAGAAATGCTATTCTAAACTGAGCTAAAGAGAATGGAAGAAGGTATGATTTTTAGAGGAGAAAAGGAGTGCTATTTATAGGTGTTTTTCAACACCTTTGGCTGGGTACCCGACCGGGTATAGGTACATACCCGACCGGGTACCGGTCAAAATCAGATAATCTTCCATGTTTTTGTGTTCCAGCACGTTAAATTGTCCCGGGTCAAGTCAGACCCGACCGGGTCAAGTAAGGGACCCGACCGGGTTTGGTCTAAATCAGATTTTTCCAAATCTTTGTGATCTTCAGCATGTTCTGGTGTTCCGGGTCATATCTGACCCGACCGGGTCGAGTAGGGGACCCGACCGGGTCTTACTTTTTCTTCTTAGATCCGGTCTTCAACTGACCCGACCGGGTTCAAGGTTTGACCCGGTCGGGTTTTTGTGCTTCTGGGTATTTTTGTCTTCAGCTTTTCTCCCATTTTCCTTGCTACAAACTCTATCACTATTCTATAACTACGAAAAGAAGGAGAAAGCAATTACAAACAAAATAAAACAAGTACTTACAAACTACCTAAAAGCGATGGAAAGTCCACACCCAATCAACATAAAAACATACATTTATGCACTATAAACTAGTGCATATCAAACACCCCCACACTTGAATTTTTACTCGTCTCGAGTAAAACAAATTCTGTCCAAGAAGTCCTTAATTGACAAGAGTAGCAGCACCAACATCCACAAGTGTTTATAACAAATACATAAAGTATCTCCAAAACAAAAAAGACTAAAGATGGGTCTTCAATTTCAATTTCCTCATCCGACGAACTCTCTATAGTAATCACCCTCAGGATCCTGCAAAATAAAAAAAAATAACTCTCTCATTCTCTCATTTTGCCTTAGGTGCCCTTTCAGGTTTTCAACCCAGCTTCCCACATTTTTCTTTAATGAATCTCACAACTCACTCTTATTTTTTTTTTTGCTTTATTTTTGCTTAAGCTGCCCTTTGTGGGTTTTCAACTTAACAAGCTGTTTTTTTTTTTGAAGATAAAAATGAAAAGAGTAGGATTGTGAGCTTACCAGAATAATCTTAACACCCCCACACTTAGTACCTGGCACCGTCCCTAGTGCTCGCCCATACCTCCACCGTGGTGTCTGTCTTCATCCATGTGGTCCCCGCCATAACCACCATCATTGCCTCCACCACCGGAACTCGAGTCTCCAAAATACCCCCATGTAGTCGGATCGTACCAAGAGGGTGCGGGAGGGGGATTTGCCATAGATGCAAATCCACTCTGATGTGCCACATAGGAATATAAAGTGCCATAGGTCCTACGCTGATCCTCCTCAGATCTCCGCATGTCCTCCTCATACCTACGCCAGTCTGCTTGCCGCTGCTCCTCCATCCTCACAATGCTCTGGTTGAGCGTGACCATGTTATCGAGCATTTGTTGCTCGAAAGGTGTGTAGTGGAATGCTTGAGGTTGTGGTTGTTCGGGTATGATTGGGGGTTCTTCATCATCTTCATCTTGGATGGGTTCTTCATAATGATCCGGGATTGCCCCGGGAAGACAATAGTGATGACCATCCCCGATTTGGTGATTGATGATATCCAGGGGGACGTCGGCCGAGGGTATCTGGAGGTAGATGGAAGTGCGTGGGAGAATGCGCCAATTATAGATGTGTGCCCCAGTTGGTGTTGTGTGCGAGGGGACCAAGTCTAGCGTCTTTTGTAAAAGCCATTCAGTGCAAATAAGTGTCTTGAGGTGATGGGGCCGGGGTCTATAAAACCATATAAAGTGGCTAGATGTGTGATTAGGCCCCCCATAGCAATTGGTCCTGTTGATGTTGCCACGTTGTTGAAATGAGTCCATAAGATGGTGGCAACATCAACTTGATCTGGGCCCGGCAAAACATCTTGTGCTAGAACACACACATCCCAGATACGTGTGTGATGATTATTCGGTCTTCCGAGGAAACAATTTGAGCAAAATTTTAAGAATAGTCGGAAGACCGGATGTTGCACACGATTCACACTCAGTTTAGATAGATCAACCACATTCTTTCCGGTCATTCTTCTCCACAATTCATACCCCACAAGAGAATCATATGTACGTGCTTCATCAAACCATGGGAGACCAAAATGGTGAACAAATTCTCTTTTGGTTAATGAACGATCCTCATTTAGTAAACGAAAGGTGATTATGTCATTTGCATGATCATTCACATCTTTTGTATACGCAAATGAGCTAAAAAATTCATACACCAAATGAGGATATGTCACATATTGCATTTCAAACATTCTAGATATTCCAATTCTTGCAAATATGTCACGCATCACAGTATCAATCCATAGTAGTGCTAAAGTAGTTAAGCACATAAAACGGGATTGTTTTACCTCCCTCTTTGCTTGGTTGATGAAGTTGTTCCGTTGAGCCTCCGTAGCAAACTCCACGCTCTCATAGCCCGCTACCGGTGGGATAGCTCGATTTCCCCTTGAGAAAGAGGCTTTTGACTTTCTTGGAGCCATTGAAGTCCACTTTTTATTTTGGATTTTTTTTTTGTGATTTTCGGACTTGGGTAGGGTGGGGTTTGGAACTTTGGAATTTTGGTGGGTCTTGGGTATTTTGGGGTTGTGAGAGTGGAGAGGATGATTATTAGGAGAAGAATTTGGGATTTTATGGGTATGGGTGTGTTGAGAAGGTTGAGGAGATGAAGATTATGGTGTTATTTAGTGGATTTGGTGGAGAAATGGTGTAGAATCGAAGGTTTTGGTGTGTAAAAATGGAGGGTTTTGAGGATTTTTTCGTGGGGAGGAAGAAGAAGTGGGAGGGGAAGGGGGTGAGCCCGACCTGGTTAAGTGCGAATTTCCCGTTTACCCGGTCGGGTGAAGTCTTCCGCCTGGTCGGGCTGTGCGGTGTTTCTTATCCAGTAGCTACTGGAACGACTACCCGGTTGGGTGCTTTAGGGTACCCGGTCGGGTCTTGCTGATTTTTTAAAAATTAAATTCGTACCCGCCCGAGTTTCAGAAATACCCGAATGGGTATGCATTCCAGTGTTCAGAGCCAAAAATATGTGCAAACCCGGTCGGGTTTTGGAAGCCCCCGGTCGGGCATATGTTTTTTTTTGTTTTCGTTAGCAACCCGGTGGTCGTGTTGCCCGGGTATCCTTTTTTATTAATAAACCCGACCAGGCTGTTTGAGATACCCGACCGGGTTTCAGCCCAGGCTCATTTTTTTTTTTTTGAAAAAATTATAACACACGAACTGAAAAAATATGAAATTAAAAATAAAAACTTGGGTTGCCTCCCAAGAAGCGCTTGATTTAATGTCGCGGCACGACGTTATTTTTATTTTATTTTCTATTTTAAGTGGGATCGTGAGCATCCCTTGTTTCATTTTTCTTCCTCCGCCTTTTCCAGTAAGGTTGAGATTTCTTTCTCATTATCACCTCAATCGTATGTGGTTTTAATTCGCACCGAGGTGACTTTTTAAGTTCTTCTCCTTTCAAAATAGATTTTTTTGGCTTAATTTTTATTTCATTAAAAATTAAAATTTTTTCAGTTTCCTCTCCAACAAAAATATTTAGTGTCGGTGGTGGTTCAAAAACATTTAAAGAACAAAGAGATTGATCTTTAATTTGTTTTTTCGTAGAATCAAAAATGTTGAATTCTACCTTTTGATCATCAAACTCTAAAGTTAATGAACCATTAGACACGTCTATTTTTGTTTTTGCGGTTTTTAGAAAAGGCCTACCCAAGAGGATGGGTGTAGTTTGGTTATCATCTCCCATTTCCAGAACATAAAAATCAACAGGGAAAATCAAATTTTCTACTTCTACTAGCACATCTTCTACTACACCCTTCGGGTAAGTATTAGACTGATCCGCTAGTTGAATCACTACACCAGTTTGATGTAGTGGGCCGAGTTGTAAGGATTTATATAAGGAATAAGGAATGACATTTATTGACGCTCCTAAATCCAACAAGGCCTTAGAAAATAAGGTATTCCCTATTTTGCAAGGAATAGTGAACATGCCTGGATCGCTACATTTCTCAGGGAGTTTCTTTTTAAAAATGGCCGAGACACGTTCACTCACTTCAACTTTTTGTTTCCCTTCCATTTTATTTTTCTTTTTCATTGTGCATAGTTCCTTTAAGAACTTTGCATAACGGGGAACACTTTTGATCAGTTTGAAGAGTGGGATGTTTACCTCAGAATTGACGAATGTTTCGTAGATGTCCCGATCATTCTTCAGCTTCCTCGTGTCTTTCAATGCCTCAGGGAATGGAGGGAGTGGTTCATATGATGACAGTGGAGGGAATTTAGTCTTCGTTGGCTTCTCCTCTTCTTGTTGAAAGCCTTCTTCAAGATCAACCTCTTGCTTCTCCTCCTCAACTTCCCGTGGTTGCAATTCTTTACCGTTCCTCAACATGATTGCATTGACATGTTGTCTTGGGTTTTGCTCAGTTTGGGAGGGGAGCCTACCCGAATCTTTTGCTTCAAGTCGACTTACGGCATTTGAAATTTGGCTAACTTGAGTTTCCAAATTTTGAATGCTCGATTTGGTTTCATGTTGGAATTGCATCATGGTTTGTTGGAATTGCCCCATGCTTTGCTGCATTGTTCCCATATTAACGGCCAGCACTCGAATCATGTCTTCGGTGGACATACTCGAGTTCGATGTTTGGCCTTGTGGTTTATATTGTTGAGGAGGAGGATTTGTTTGAGAATTTCCGTACCTTAAATTCGGATGATCCCTCCATCCCGGGTTGTAAGTATTGCCTTGAGGATCGTACCTCCTTTGACCTTGGAACCCCAAAGCATTAACTTGCTCGGAGTTCTCTTATTGTAGCGTTAGGCAAGAATCTGTGGGATGCCCTTGCGTTGAACAGATGCCGCAGACCTTGACTTCTTGGGTTTTTGGATTTAAAAGGAAATCTTTAACCAAAGAAGTCAAGCCAGCTACTTGACTCTCCAATGAGTTGTTGGATTCTGCTGCCATGACTCGTTTCGATGACGACCTTCCATTGTAATGTCTCGAGTTTTCGGCCAACTCCGAAATGAGGTCTCTTGCTTGAGAAGGGGTTTTGTTAACAACACCCCCTCCGCATGCCGCATTCACCATGCGTCTATCTTGATCAACAAGTCCATCATAGAAGTAGAGGATGAGATCTTGTTTTGAATACCCATGATATGGGCAACTAGCACATAATTTTTTAAATCGCTCCCAATATTCATATAAGGTCTCATTATCCGTTTGCTCAATGTTGCTGATTTGCTTCTTGAGACTTGAAGAGATAGATGCGGGATAGTACCTGTCAAGGAAGCTCTTTTTCATTTGAGCCCATGTATTGATGCTCCCCGAGGGAAGATAGAATAGCCAATCTTTGGCGGTGTCTTTGAGGGAGAATGGGAAGGCTCTCAGCTTGATTTGCTCCTCGGACACGCCATTGGGGCACATGCTTGTGCACACAATATGGAACTCTGACAAGTGTTTATTTGGATCTTCCCCTCGTAGGCCATGGAAAGAGGGAAGTAGATGAATGAGCCCAGATTTTAGCTCGAATGTGACCCCCGTATCAAGAGTTGGAAAAGTGATGCATAAGGGTTGTTGATTTAGATTCGGAGCCGTTAGCTCCCTCAGCGTTCTTGTTTCCAGGGCCATGTGGAAGGACTCTTCGGGTTCGCTAGAATGAGAACTAGCACTTGATGATTCCTCCGAAGAAGTATTCGGAAATAGATTTCTGAACCTCTCGAAGGCTTGTTCTGTTTCGGGTTTTGTTTGGTAGGTGATTTGGTTTATAGATCGGTGTTTAACCATATACTCAAACAAAGCTCAGCCAAAATAGAAATCTTTTAAATGTTTTTTTTATATTTTTCTTGAAATAAAATAGAAAGAAAAATAATTGCCTTTCCCCGGCAACGACGCCAAATTTGACGAGCACTTTGTCATGGTGCGTCAAAATAATGTCAATACTAAACACTTATACGTAGTATAGCGTAGTAGAGTTCGTATCCACAGGGAAAGGAATGATTTTCTTTCTATGAAACTAGTAATAAAAAGGGGGGTTTTGGTTTTGAGTGATTTAATTCAATTAAGAAACTAAGATGAACAACCTATATGTGTTTAATTCAAGAATAAAAGGGACTTGACTTTGCTACTTTCCACTTGTTGATATATTTTAGTCGATCCTTGTTATATCTATAAATTATCCCCTCTCGAATACTCAATCGAGGAGTATCTCCAATTCATCGAGGGTAGTTATTAACAACGACCGTTCATTAATAACCCTTACTATTAATCAAATATAGAACAACGCCGTATACCGATATAATAGTAGCATTCAATCTTTTTAACTCCGTGATGAAATCAATTGAGATTGATAACCTTAACACAACGGTTTCGGTTTAACCAACAAAATTGATTCCTCTTAAGTCTATTAACCACAACCGTGCATTAATAAACCGAAGTTACTTACTTGTGAAACCACCAACGATTAACCATCGGTTCGTTGATCGTTTCTAGTAGTAATTAATGTCGGAACGTTAACTAATCGTCACTTAGCAACCCTCCAACATTAATATAGAATGAGATTAAGGGAAGAATTAATAATCAAGAGAAGAAGTTAAGAAAATAACTCACAACTTTAATAATCAACAAGCTTCAAGAGCAAAACCAAGAATGGAAGTTTAGCTCCTCATTTGGAGGCTAAACATAGCTAGAAAAATATAAAGAAATGCTATTCTAAACTGAGCTAAAGAGAATGGAAGAAGGTATGATTTTTAGAGGAGAAAAGGAGTGCTATTTATAGGTGTTTTTCAACACCTTTGGCTGGGTACCCGACCGGGTATAGGTACATACCCGACAAGTAAAACAAGTACTTACAAACTAACTAAAAGCGATGGAAAGTGCACACCCAATCAACATAAAAACATACATTTATGCACTATAAACTAGTGCATATCATCCATTGAAGGGCATATTACAGCTTAGCAACAATGGAGATTGAAGACAAGAAGGAAGATATTCCAGAAAGATGAAAATAGAGAATCGATAGAAAGATAGTTCAGCAAGCGTATCATTACAAGTGTTCAGACTTAATATATTTATTTACAAATTACGTCAACTATCTAACTGTATACAACTGATTATCTAATAGAGAGTGCCACGTCAGCTCTTCAGTATGAGTGCAACTTGATTAGTTCCACAGAGCTATCATTTTGGCATGTTTGTCCGCGTGACTAACATTTTGATAGATGTTTCCGTATTTTCTATTTAAAGTTAAAAAGAATTTGAATATTTTGTCATTGGGTGGCCCTTCATACGCATCGTGTTTCTATTCATGTCTATATTTAGCTTTAGATTAATTTTAGACAAGAAATTTTACCTGCTCCTACCAGCAGTCCTTGAGGATTTTTGGAGAGTCTTGATTCAAACTCCTACAGTATATTTTGTTTGTTTCTATTTACCAAACCTATCATACTTATTTTCTATATAGTTTTTATACTCCCATATCATATTTGAGGCTTTAAGCTATTAAAGGGAAAACAGATTAAGGCAAAAGATGGTATGAGGTTCATTCCTGAAATTGAGGAACAACAAAAGGAAATATATAAAAGCAAGACATAAACGACATCAGATTGAGGTCTGCATACGTTTCATTATTTCTTCCCAAATCAGTATTAAGAGTAAATACTTTGAAAAACTATTTCTGAATACACTCACAAAGTTAGAAGATTAAAGATTAATGAAATAAATTTGAGGTTAGGCAGAAATGGTTGTAATTTGGACCACACTAAATCATATTAGTTGCATTCTCAACTAATATCTTCCAAGTAGAGAGTAATTAACAATGCAAAAAAACACTCAAAAGAAATTCAAAAGCATCACAGTGAAGGGAAAACAAAGCAGAGAAAGAGGATTCTTACCGCGCAAATGCGGTGAGGTAGCGCATGAGTTTTTCCCAGAGAATTAGCGGATGTCATAAGTTGGTCTTCACTGGAACTCAAAAAAACAAAGGCTTACTATCTATCTTTAATTTCACAATCAATGAGAGCTTCAAATGCAATCAACGATATCATTAAAATAAAAAACTGAATAACCTAATTGCAGGGAGAAGACGAATGGAGACAATGTGTCAAACGCCAGTGAGTAGTGCCGAGTTTCCCTCTGAGCGGAAGAAATGCAATCCACCATTTTTTAAACTGTAGATAAAGTGATAAACTGTAGTCACTTCTTTTTCGATTTACAAGTGTGAAATCGACGAACATTTAATGCGAATAGTGTGAAGTATTTACAAATTGCAAGCCATAGCCATTGAGAATTCAAATAGGTGTCTGCTCGCCATAACTGTGGAGCATCAAAAATGTTGAGGTGCTTGACAAGAGAAGAGGAGGCGAAAGGAATCAAAGGATACAACTGGGACGGAAATAAGCGAAAGTGAAGTCTTATTAGAAGGGGAACATCTAAGGGAAAGGTTTTTTCTGTTAAAACACAAGCTATAATACTAAGTTAAAAAGTACAAAACCCGATACACAATGTACAATGACCTTATGCAACAAGAGACCAACACATTTTGTATGACCGTTATACCCTTAAAAATATTCACTCTTATAGTCTTGTAGAGATGTAGAGATAAATATATGTACTAGTCTTTAACCCATGCGTTGCACGAGACAAAGAAATCGGTGAAACATGCAAAATCTAAATAGATCAATCATATTATCAAGATATGATGGATACATGCTAGCAACAATTTGGGTACACTTTGAGTAAGAGGGACATGTGGAGTGGTAATAAATATATCATCAGGTATATATATAAATGAAGACATCTCCATAATGACATTCTCAATATTTTCATTTCCTAATTTGAGCATCAAAGCTGAGAAGCTTTTCAATTCATTGACTTTACAATGTGAAGAACGACACCACGCCTCATTTTTTGTTGAAGTCATAACGTGATAGTGTCTCCAAAAATGTGAGATATTTATGGTAGTATAAGAGTTTACTTAATGATAAATTATTAGATTAATTCACCATATCATAGATAAGTCTATTTTATAATTCAAAAATCAATGACACGTCAAGTCATGACACGGACGGGAGCTAAGTCAAGTCAGGTTGCATAAGAAGTGACATTATAAAAAACAATATCAATGCCATGAAAATTTACAAAACAATGCAACAAAAATGTCACAATTGTCAATATCAAATGTAGTACCATAAAAATGACATTGTTACTCCCTTCGTCCCCTATTATTGTCCCATTTTTTCATTTTTGGATGTCCCTATATTATTGTCTCATACTATATTTGATAACATTTGTGTGACTCTAATTCATTCTTACTTTATTCACACCTTATCAACTCATTATCAACCACATAATTCTACTTTTCTTAAAAACCACACCATTCTCTTCCACCCCAATATTAAGGGGACGGAGGTAGTACTATATAAAAAATAGAGTTAAAGAAAGAAGGAAATAGAATCACTCTGGAGTTACGTACGATTTGAAAAAGGAAATTATTGATTATTGGGACTTCTTATCGCCCCCCCCCCCCCCCGGTCATATCTCTTGGTCATCATTATTTGATCACTGAGTTTTTATATCTCCCCCTCAATCATCGCTCTCAATGACCTTTATTTGATAATTTGAGTTCGTTCGGGCCCATCAGCGGTCTCTCTTGGTCATATTTATTTGAAAACTGAGATCACTTCTAATTTCAAATATAAACAAAAGTATTAAATATTACCGTTTACTGTTAGTATGCCTGAAAAGGCTAATAAGCTGAAAATAGAGGTCATCAAACAACCCCTAAACTTATTAAATAAGTTAATGGCATTCATATTGAGAAAGTTCCAAAATGAATGTCATATCATATGCAACACCATTGATGACCTAATAATAAATATAATGACTATCGTAATGAAATATAGAAAAAATTATAAAATTCTAATATACTAAGCAATCAAATTTAAATTGTGTCTTATTTTTAATAGCTTAAAAATAAAACTGTGATATATTGTTCCTGTTGAGAGCATGTAC